TATGCATAAAAATGCAAATTATTCTGGAAATTCAAATTCAGGAAGTCTTATATAATCACTGATGTCTTAGTGCAGTTTACATGCATTCATGATCAAATCCCTAGGCTGACTCCAGAGTGTAGAATACCACCTTTTCATTGACACAACGCTTTATACACAGTGTTGCTAAACACTGTAATTGACAAAGCACGCCAATATTTTCAAAGCAGTTTCTGGAAACGCTAGGAAACATGAAGGGGCTTTTCTCCAGGATTTTTCCATTTTGAAACAGCAGGCTGTGAGCACATAAATAATTTGTGAACACAGTAAGGACACCCTCCAGCCCTTTTGACAGCCAACTAGGCTCTCAGAGGCTACACCTTGTTCCTGCAGGTTTCCCATCAGAAAAGCCTCTACACAAGTCAGGTATGTGGAGGGAAAAAAGCTGCAAGCTGAGAGCAGATGCTCTCAGATGTATAAAAGAGATGTGAGAAAGATGCTGGGGGTTGGAAGTAGCAAAGAAGAACACCTGAAACTAGAAGGAGCAAATGTGCTTAGAGGGAGGATGGGGAGAAACCATGCAGGAAGACAATAAAGGCACTGTCTGGCCTTAGACAAGAGGACAGATAGTGTAGAGGGATATCGATGGGTTGGAGGGAACTATGGAAAGCCCTCAGAGATAAAAGGATACCCAGGGCTTAAGTGGGAAGGAAGACATGCGGGAGAAGGGAGAAATGGTGTCAAAGTGCTAGGAAGAACGGCCACTTTGGAAATCTGGATTTCGCTTTTAGTGATCAATTTAATTATATAACTAGGCAACTTGCACTAGTTGTAGAATAACCTGGCAAAACATATACTGTGTCTTTGGCATGTTAAAGTCCCCTTCTGCTACTGCATTAACTTGCAGGTACATGAACTCATGACAGCTCGTTAGCCAGAGGTACTCAATCCCTTTAAAAACCAAATATAGCAGATTGAAAGTACGTCTGTGTGCAGCCTTTTAATGTTAAGTGGTGTGCATAATAAGATTTATAATAAAAATATACGTGAATGTTTGAAATCTGACATCCTTCATTCCTGGCTTTTGGCTTGTGCAAACCTGGTCATCAGAGAGACTTGAAAGCCCCACCAGTGGCATTTACTGGGAATGCAAGTCCAAACCTTAAGCTAACCAAATGTCACAAATGAATGAACTTCTGCCATCTTCCATATTAAAAGAACTATTTTGATAACAACATTGTGATTACTTTTTCATAAATATGCCTGGAAAGGCTGCTCACAGGTTATGGAATTTTAAGTTTTCTGATGTAATATTCCTCTTAAGCACTACACATAATACTTTGATCTTACAACAGTTAGTGGAACCAAAAGTGCAAATAAAGCATTCAAAAGCAAGAAAACACTGGAATTACCATTGCCTGTAGCAGATCAGTCCAGCCCTGTTGTCAATGTGGAGTAGGGTGCAGTTTAACTTACACAACCAAACACCAAATTTTCCACTGGTAAAGACTCACTTGAGAGCCACAGTTTCAAAGAATTTGGATCTTTTACTTTCGCTTGTTTGTTTTGGAACTGTTAGCATGTTTTGCTGTAAACAGGTCATTAAAAACAGCTGCAGGCACATCACTGTTATGGATGTGGATTAGGAATCAGCATGTCAGAATAAGTGGCAACAGCACGCAATATTTACACTGTGGCATCTTGGACTCAATCTGTAGCTTGTCTCTGTTAGCTGACAACTGGGTCTGGGCAAGCCCAAGTGACCTTAGGCCAGGTAACCTCTTCTTATGTGTCTGCCCATATTGAACACCTTAAAGGAACTCAGCCTCAGACACACAGGGAAATCTGAAGGTTTGGCATTAAGTCTTATTGAAGCCATGGTGCAATGGATCACCCTGGCTGGATTTGGTGTTTTACTTCTCACCTAAGAAAAACACCTGCACTTTCCTCTCCTTACATTCTTCAGAAGGAGTTTTTTGCGAACAGTGAAGTTATTCTGCAATATTTGAATGCACTGAAAATAGAAAATTCATAAATATATCTATCTCTGACATTTTGTGCTTGTTAACATGCTAAACATTTACTATGGTAAAGATCAATTTATGGCTACAGGGTAAAAAACATCTTTGTTTCTCTGGCTAACATAGCTTATTTTCCATTAAAGATACCACAAACCATCTGCAAGAGCTGCTGAACTCCACATCTTTTTTATCAATATTTACATAGCCTTTTCACTGAAAACAAGAATTCTTTCTGCATCGTGCAATATCAGTCCCAGTCCTTTCTCTGCTTTTTCTGTCTCTGCCACAGAAAATGTGCATTCACATTTAACTGAAGTTTATTGCCAGGAAAATTAGTTCTAGGAACAGAACGAAACATTTTCCTGAACTGAAAAGCAACATGCAACAAATGCAAACTTATTTAAGCAACAGCTCTACCTGCTTTGATTTTTCTTCCAAAATAAATGCTTTTGAAAGACTGTCAGATGAAAGCACATCACTGAACAATGGCCAGGACTTGCAGAAGACTTGCAGGCCAGCAGCCAGCCAGACCTACAAACCCACAAAACTGCTTGACATGCAATGCTTTGCAATGCCCGGTTTATCACCGTGAGCTATGGTAAACTATTCAATTCAAAGTATTTAGCACAGTATCTCCACATTTATCCAACAGTAAGCAGTAGAAATATTTGTGACTAACATCAGTCTGCTGCCATCTTCTGGTGAAAAGTTCAGGACATTAAACTGCAAATACAATCAATTCTTGCTTGCTCCCATTATCTTGGGCTTTTATCTCACAGTAAGGCAATACAATATTACTTGTGCAGCAATATTACTTAAAGAGAAACAAACAGGCTAGTGATCTCACAGGGAGCAAGGATCCTTTTCACAAATGTCCTTTCACTGACCCTTTACCATGCCTGCAATAATCTGGATAGTGACTGTCAGAGGAACAAAGTGGCTTCAGTGTTAAGTAGTAGCTATTATTTTATGTGGAAAAATACACCAATCCAGCAACAATAAAATATACTTCAGAAGCCATCTATTTGCATGCACTGTAAATAGGAGAGACAAAATATGAGTAAAGTCAGGAAAGGCAGAATATAATGCTAAATAGGCAAAACAAGGTTACATTAACCAAGCCAGAACTGCAAGACTATAAATGGATGCCACTCCACTCACTTCTCCTACCAGTTAGTCTTGACTCTTGCCTGTTCCTTGCACTAAGCATGTGCAGCTGGAAGATGTTCCTCACAGAGTGATACAGCCTGGGACATGAGAAACCAGCACATGGTAATTTGAAGGGGAGATACAGGATTCAGATGCCCAAGTCGCTTCTTCCCATATTTGCAATGAAGAGCAGCAAATTCTTCAGCACAACATATCCAAACTAATGGCGAGGATAAGGAATACAGATGAGAAAATTATCTTAAGTGCACCGTGGTATTTGTTTTGATGCTTAGAATATCCAGCAGAAAGATAACAGCAATTTGCAATCCTTTAGCCCCTTTAATCCAACCATAACTACCTCCTGATGAACTGAGGTTGACTTACATGAAAAATTATTATTATTGAGAGACACGCTATTTCAAACATTTAGATGAATATGCTCGCAGTAACGTTACTCAGAAGGCAGTGCTGTTCAGCTGAGCATCAAACATTGCTGGGGTACAACATCCATGTCTGCAAATTACTCTGGCAGAACAAGCAACAAAAAGTCAGATGCACATTTGCAGAATGCTTTACAAGGCTGAAAAAAATAATACAGTACTAATATGCAGTACAGTCATTCCTTTCCTTAGGGAACAGGAAATACAGACCTCCTGGTGCACTCAAACATAAGCTTCACCATAGCCTGAAAAGCAAAGACTCCAGGAAGGAGACTGAAAATGGATTGAAGGTCGTAAGTTCCCAGCTGACTTCAGAAACCCAACATCTATACCAGTACCTATCTTCAAAACCCTACCAAGAGCAACTAGCTGTGCCACCGTAACATCAGCCCAAGTTTTAATAGAAAGAGACAGTCATTTTTGACAGCTGTTTGCCATCAGAAGGTACTGATGGAAATAATCCATGAAAATACATTGATTTTTAGGCAACTCAATGAAACTATTTTTCTTTGATTTTAAAAACAGGTTAACAGGTTTTCCTGTTAATCTGTCTTCAAATTTTTCCTTTTTAATAGTTTAAGATTTTAATGTTTTGTTTCATGTTCTGGCATTTTATGCTCCTACAATGCCCTGTTGATGCCTCTGAAAGCAGTTACATCAGAACATCTGACATTACAAAAACTCTCTTCTCAATCCACTTGCATTACAATTCAGTAAATAGAAATTTTGAAATAGCATGTAAAAAAAGATTAATTTTGCATTCCTACCTATGCAATAAAGGAAGAAAATACTGCCAAAGCATTAAACTGTAAGTCCTTGATAAAGTCAGGATTTTCTAACCATTAGCACTCCCCACTATTTGAGAAACAATGGTTGCAAGAAATACTAACTGATTAATACCAACTTCCAAATCTAGACCTGCTAAGCAGCAGGGAGAGGCCTTAGAGACAAATGTTGAGTAAAGCTTACTCTCCTGACCAGCATTACCACAGAGATTGTTCCTCCTACTGCAGAAAATCTGCCTGAAAAGAAAGCCAGCACAGCTGGTCAAGCCCCAGGAAATTATTCTTGGCTCACACCAATGGTTTGCATCTTTCTTCAAGATCAACAGCTTTGATTTGCAAGAACTGGCTGTTCATGCTCCCTCAGCACGTAATTATATTGAAGAGTGAGGGCATGACCTCTGAGTCTCAGTCTCAGCCCTGGTCTTTACTGCTATGACCAGCTTTCAGTAATCCCAGGTCCCTGAAATCAATGGGAAGGTCTGTGGCAAGGAAGACTTACCCTTGGTGGAGGAGGAGCAGGTTAGGAAACACTTAAACAAACGGCATACCCAGGTCCATGGAGCACCCACAAGCACTGAGGGAATTGGCCCATGTCATTTTGAGGCCATTCTCTTTATCACTGAAAGGTTTTGACAATCGAGGGGAGGTTCCTTACGGCTGGGAGAAAGTAAATGTCACTCCCGTCTTCAAGAAAGGCAAGGAGGATGATCTGGGGAACTGCAGGCCAGTCAGCATCAATTCCTGTGAAGATGATGGAGTAAATAATCCTGGAAAACCAATTCCAGACACTGGCTGTCGAAAGGGCTGGAAGAGGTCATTTGGAGTGGTCAGCATGGATTTATGAAGGGGAAATCATGCTTAAATCAAACTGAAAGCCTTCTACAATGATAAGACTAGCTTGGTCGATGAGGGGAGAACAGTAGATGTTGCTTATCTTGACTTTGATAAGGCTTTTGACACTGTCTCCCATAGCACCCTCATCGACAAACTGATAGCAGTATAGGCTAGGTAAGCGGACAGTGAAGTGAACTAAATAATGCCTGAGCTGCTGGACTCAAAGGGTTGTGACCAGTGGCACAAAGTCCAGCCAGAAGCCAGTCACCAGCTGTGTGCCCCAGGGCTGGATAATGGGGTAAATAGTATTAAATATCTTTATGAATGACCTGGATAATGGGACAGGTAGCAGCATCAGCAGGTTTGCAAATGATACAAAACTGGGAGAAGTGGTTGACAGACCCACTGTGTGTGTTGCCATTCAGAGGGACCTCAACAGGTTGAAGAAATGCATCAACAGGAATGTCATGAAATTCAACAAAGGGAAATGCAAAGTCCTGCAGCTGGAGAGGAGTAACACCAGGCAGCAGGACAGTCTGATGTCCAGCCACCTGGAGAGTAGTTTGTCAGAAGAGGCCATGGTGGTCCTAGTAGACAAGTTGGCCAAAAGCCAGCAACATGGCCTTATGGCAAAGGCCAAGGGCACTCTGGATTGTATTGAACAGAGCATTGCCAGCCCATCAAGGGAAATGATCCCTCCTCTACTCAGTATTGAGGAAGAGACATGTGAATGCTGTGTCCAGGTCTGAACTCCCCACTACGAGATGTGGACATACTGGAGCAAGGGGCCACAAGCATGTTAAAGGACTGGAACATCTCTCATACGAGGAGAGACTGAGAAAGCTTAAAAGAGAGAGGCTGAGAGAGATCTTATCAGTATGTATAAATAGCTGGCGGGGCTGGGCATAAAGAAGAAGGAGTTAGCCTCTTTCTCAGTGGTGCCGTGACAGGACAGGTATGCCATCCACAGAAGGCGGCAAGAAGTAATCCAAAACAACCCTTGCCACACCACCACCGCCTGACAAAAATATACAGTATCCATGCCCCACCCTCCACAGTGACAACTTTGTTCTACATATTGATTCCTTTTACACTACTTTATTGGATTGATACAAAAACACGAGTTAAGCAGGACTGGGAAGTTACATGCGCTTTTGCTGGTTTTATGCCTTTTCCAAATAAACTGTGCTGTACTGCAGACAGGGACTCTGAGCACTCCAGGTCTGAGTTTTTAAGTAGTGCTTAATGCCTGCATCTCCCATTGGTTTAAAAGGGATTTGTATCTACCCTTTACTGGCCAATCCCTGCCCCATTTTTTCAGTCTTCAAGCCAAGGCCAGAAGAATAATACCGTATCTTTCCCAACACCACGAAGAATCAACTACTCACTTTACAGGCTTTAAGCTGAGGGAAGATATTTCATAAAAGGATGAGACCCATTCTGTATGGGCCCAGTGAGAGTTAAGTATATGAAGAGATTTTTTTTTTCTCCTGCCTTTGAAGTCTCTCCTTTGACTATTTGATGTGAAATATACTTTAAATGTTTCCTGTGTTCAGGAACATCACAGGAATTTAGAAAATACTTCTAAACCTTGCTTTTGATTCCCCACTTGCCCCCTACAATCATTTAAACATTATATAGACTAAATATCGGAGTCAACAGCATATAGCCGAGTGGAGATAGATCAACTTACACCAGTACTGTAAAGACTTAATGCAGTAATGCCATCTAATGACCTGATGCCGTGATCTCTTCCTGCATTTTGGAGATGACATCAGTCCGAATGCTACCTTTTCCCAACTGAAAGTATTTTATAAAAACCCCACATTTTCTATGAATACTGCATGGAAAGAGAAGGGAGCAGAAAAAGAAGGGTTAAAAAAATCATCTTGAATAAACAAAGGAGCTCTGTTCTTGCAATGCTAAAAAGACTGTAATGTCTGTAACAGGGGTTTAATTCTATTGCACTTTACTCATGCATACTAACAATGGATTGACCTGGTAATAGGTAATTGTAATAGGTAGTGATGTGTGAAAATAATAGGTAGGAAATTGCCAGTCACTATGAGGACTGACAGAACTGAAACCAAAGAATTTAGAGTCTCCAGCATAGGCTTTGCATTTATGTAGTTATTTTTAGAATCAATTTGGTTCTTCTGTAAGAATAAAGAAAATTTTCTGTTAGGGTTATAAGAACCGTTTCACTTGAAAGAGTTTCAGTAAAGGCCAGAGTTAGATTCAATTCTAGACAAGCATTTGCCAGTTCATTAACAAACTATTTCCAATACAGCAAAAATGATGAAGCTTTAAGCATCTTTAGTGTGTGCTAAAAGAAATCCCACTCATTTTAAAAAGTTGACTTAAAGGCAGAATTTCATTAAAACTAATAAAAGAAACAGAGCTCTATGGAAAGAATTTCACTCAGTTCTTGCTCAGTTTTTCCTGAGTTTTGCCATGTTTATTCTACGTGAAAACTATCACTCTACACTGTAAAAATGACATCACAAACTCCTGAAAAGTAATCCCACGAGTGCTGTGTAGGACTTCCCATCTCAGGAGACTTCCACAGTTTGACATTTCCAGGCTATTGTATTTCCGCTCTCCAAGTTACTGAAGCTTCAGTGCTCTCCACAGTGATGCACATCATTTACAGAAGCTGTGTTTTGAAGATGGGTCCATTCTGACAGACACTCTCTCAAGTTCTTAAACCAATTCTGAGGCAAAATAATTTTAGCAGCTCCCACTGAAACTAGTTGTCACTGCAGCCACTCAGCACCTGTGTTTTACATCACATTACCCCCAAGAAATCCTCACAAGAACTACAACAGGCAATAACAAAAACCCTTTTCAAACATATTCAGAAAGAGACTTCAGGATATCAAGATGCAGTTGGGCAGAACATGCCACAACATAAACAGACCCACTTTATTAAAAAAAAAAAACAATTGGAAAGTCACATTCCAGTGGCCAACTCACTTTCCAAACAAAAATTGCCAAGAGAGAAAATGCAAAGTTCCCCTTGCATTAGGAGATGACATCACTCAGCAATATGACAGCATCATCTCCATGAGTGAAAAGATGCACCCAAGTGTCCAGAACAGGCATAACAAAGTGTCAGGTGAAAAAATACTTGCAGTGTAGCTGCACCTAGCATTTAGTGAAAAAAGTTTGTTACAAATGGCTTCTTAAAAGGACTGGTATTTTCACCATTGATGTCTAACTATGCAAAATTACATAATCAAGTATGTATTCAGTCTGTTCAGACTTTTTTTTTTTTTAAACACTACCCTCGCTAAGAAAACTCCCATGTTACATGATGGATGAAGCTTTTAAGCAGTGCCCAAGCCTATGCTCCCAACTGCTTTCTATAAGTATTAATAAAATATCTTTTAAAACGGTAAACAGCCACTGACAAAAATTTTGGCCCCCAATAACACAAAATAAAAGAACTGCCCAAAAATTCAAAGACAGGAGTACTGGGTATCAGAACCCTGTGCGTTAGGAACACAGACAACACTGGTGAATCCCATACTGAGCGAACCTTTCTCTGAGATGGTATGTACTGCAAAATTCAGATCAAGCACCTTTGATAAAAATTACTGTCAAGAATCTTGATTTGGTCATTTGGTCTCTCCTTGCCATGAACTGCCTAAAAGCCAAACACAACTTCCACCTTGTAGGACAGCATAGAATGCAATACAAGCACTGTGTAAGAGGGAAGCAGAATAGCTACAGTAAACCTGTTCCAAGGACAAGAGAATCAGACATTTCTCACACAATTTATTTCATGGCCCTTGATGATCTGTGCAGCACAGTTCCTGCATACACATACTGTTTTCTCTTATATTCTGATGAACCACATTAGCAGCACACATCTACCACTTCCTTTCTTTCCCACAGGCTACCTTACTTACCATCTGCTTGACTTGCAACAGCTGCCAGTTGTGTCCTATTCTCCATTTCTCTTCATACACCCATTTTCTACAGCAGCTACAGCATACACACCACCAGTCCTATTTTGATTAAAAACATCCATCTTCTACATCTCTAATTAGGCTTCTTGGCTAGATTTTTGTCTTTTAGTCTGAAAGCCTCTTGGGACAAGGACTGTTTCTACTTGTATTTGTCATTGCTCAATTACTTAAAAAAAAACCAACTGTGTAAATAAACTCTTTAAGCAACTAAAGATGTCCAGACATAAATGCAAGTGAAATGATTGTGCCCCTGGCTCCTGCAGTACTTTATGTTTACCATGAGCGAGCTTCTTGCAGCTTTCCCTGACTGGTATTCCTAAGTGCAAACCACTAAAATGCATGCAGCTGGAAGAGACAGTCAAGCTGCCAGAAAGTATATAAATGAGTGACTATGGATTACATCCACCTCTTGGGATGACCCTGCCCACGAGTAAACGTATCAGAAACCACTGTTGGTGCCACAGAGAAACACCATCAGATGTGATATATGATTTAGAAGTGTTAAAATGCTCAGAATAGGACAGAAAGATACTCAAACTCTCTGCAATTGTGCTTTATGCCAATTAAACACAGAGTTCCCCAGCTGTAAGCCCCCACACAATTCATCAGACACAGCTGAAGAGCTTCACATAGACTGGAGTGTAGGTAGGTATCACCAGGTAGGATGGTCCGAAAAGTACTCATATGGAAGAGCTATCTCCAAAGGGTGCCACACTTAACAAGTTAGCCCAGCTGAAGTTAAACATTGCAGATGGTAAGACAGAGCTCTCATGAAATGTTCTGCCATAGCTACCAATAGAGTAATTTCTGCCAAAGTTTTTCCAAATGATGCGACACAGAAGACTGAACCAGAACTACCAAGCCATGAATGTAATTCAGGCTTGCTAAAGGACCCCATGGCCGAACTCAAACTGCAGCACTCATATCCTTTTAAGTCCCTACTCATCCCATCTCCTCCAAATCTCCACTAAAAAAAAAAAAAAGTTCCATGAGTAGCTACCAAGTGTCTTAGATCATTTACCAGTTCAGCTCTGAG